CCGGTCGGACCCACCGGTCGGATCCCGAGCGCCAAGCGTCTTGGGCGGCTTGAGGTGCCCGTTGGCAGAGTCGAACGACTCGTGAGCGAGAGCGTCCCGGTCACTCCCGAACGTGGCTTCTGGTCGATTGGTAGATCGATCGAATTCGGTTGACCAAGCGTTTTCTTCTTAAGCAAAGCATGTACAAATATTGTTATAAATTATATATACCAGGAACATCCAAAGGGTGCCCATTGGGCACCTCTTAGCACCAAAACTCATTGGGCACTCCTTACGAAATTTTGAAACCGAACCACTTCAGAGGGTGATTGAAGATTTTGTGGTTGTTCGAAAGGGATCCCAACCCATACCAGTCAGTCGCGACCGTTCGAAGCGTCCCTCAACCTGCGGTTCTGCAGCCGCCTCACGGGGAATCGAGCGCGGCGCTCAGGGTGCGAGGTGAACACATGTGGTACAAGAGAAGGAAGAGCTCAAGGCCGATCTCAGGGAAATTTGTCTGCGCATCAGATCTTATAGGATATACTGGAAGGTGGTTAATTTCAGTTGAACTGGTGTGATATAAGGAACCTCGCCAGTGCTACGATTAGAAGATTGGACCAACAGTATGTCCTCAAGCATGATGAACTGCTATCTGGCGGGGACATCAGGATTAAAGCAAATGCGTGGGTTCGTTGTGATTTCACGGATGCCAAGCTAGCGGCTGTACCACGGGAACTACGTGTCCGTGAAGCAGTGGCGTGGCTGGCGCGTAAGAAAAGATTGGGTCTGTAGGCTTGCAAACATGATTAAGCGGATTAAGTTATTTGACTACAAAATATTGGACCATGCCACTTAAGGGGCATAGATTTCCTGGCACTGCTTAGGGTCTTGACTTGGAAATGGCTTTTGTTTGGGGAACCACAGTCAGGTATGGGGATGCAGCTATGCTCCAAGATTGGACTGTTGAGCAGGTCTCATCTAACAATGAATCATTTGTGCTTTGCAATTGTATACCAGAGAACAATGCAAATATCATTGTTTTGCGCTACAACAAAGGCACCTCGATGCCACTGTGTCCTACTTCGCCACGCCCGAGCACAAAGAGAGGGTGCCACCTTCTGCCATGCCCTCGAGAGTTGCTCGGTGTTAACTCACATCTCTCTGCACTGCACATGTCAGTCATTGTCAGTGCGACATGTGATTCTGTCACTGGCGCCTCCCCCAGCCCAAACCAGGATTGATGTAGTCCTGACGGGTTTCCGGAGGGAGGACTGCCACTTCATCGACAAGTGGCATGTGTTTCTTCCCTCGGATGTGTTCCTTGGCACTCGAGTGCGTCAAGGAGTTCTTTGGCAGAAGTGTCGTGTTTGTTGATGCTCGCTCGTCCATTCGCTTGTTGATGTAAAGCTTCCTTGGTTCCATTGTACCCAATGTGGATTCATGTAAGGCTATTGGCTATTATGGCATTTTTGAACGAATGAGGAATGGTTCCAAACTCACCCTGTGCTTTCTAGACCAGAAGCTTGGCGAGAGTCTTTGGGCGAGCAATTCTGGAATAGTGTTTCTGCAACTTGAGATTCCACTAAGATTCCATGTCTGCTTTGAAACACTCTCGGACAGTCAACTGGAGAAATGCATCTCTCTACTTGTCCATGGGGATGATTGTGGAGCCACATACAGCATTCGTTTCTCTGCACGTGCTTCGGCTCTGTGGTGGTCATCGGGCCAGTTTCTGGGATGTCCGCGTTCCAGTGTATGTCACCAGAGCAAGCGCACACTAGACCTGTGGCTTTCCTGGTCTCTGGCGGAAGGTCAGGAAGGTGTGTTCTTTGAAGTTGATCCATTTTTACCAGACATTGGAGATTCTGCCAGAGTTGGGGGTCCATCTATCTCATCCACGAGGGTGCTGAGAAGTATGTTCAACGGGCATTCCGCCCCGTTCACAGCGGTCAGCCAGCACATACGCATATCACGCAAAGCCACATCTGGCAGTGGCCCTCTTGTTTACACGCAGCATGGCCCACAGGCCAGTCACAGGAACACTTTGCTGACAACGTCGGATTTCATCAGCCAACTCGCAGGAGTTCAGATGTTCGTCAAGGTTCCAGGATGGAGTTGCCAGTTCATGCACCCTGCTCTTCTCCACATTTGTGACTTGGCTCTTGCAGGAAGCACGTTTGGCCATGGCAGTCCAGATGACAACTTCGACATGCCTTCGTCTTGTTTTCTCGAGAATGCAAGGCCATGAAAATACGTTTCTTGGTGGTTCTAAGTGCGCTTACTTAGTGAGAGTCCAAGCAATTCTTGGCAAAATCAGGAAACACTGTCAATGCCCACAAGTTTGGGCAGGTAGATTCAACACCCTGGTTCACCCCTAAGGTTCGAGAGGAGAGCTGTTCACTATGATCCTTGGCGGTAGTTTCCACTTGTGCTTTTCGGATTCGTGGGTTGAACTGGCTGAATCAGCCTCCAAAGGTTAAGGAGACATCTATATGCTGGAGGCAGCAAACAATACCCCAGCATGCTTTGAAGAAATGTTTTTTTCAACATTTTCCCGTGTCATTTTAGGGGCTCAAGGGTTTGAGGTCCATGTCGGAGAGATCATGGGATTTGCGCGCAGGCGTCTGTGGTCCTATGCCGATGACTTCGTGGGCTGACACTTCAGATTGCGGAGAGGCACCGAGAGGATGAGCACTGCGCGTGCCATGCATTGAATTTGGGGCCTAGTCTTTTGGGAGTGTGGCTTTGACATATTGTTGCCATTGTTGGTCACAAGGATGGTGGCAGCTGTATTACACAACCTGTGTGTATTGCAGGACTCTATGAGTGTGAAGCGCAACCCCCCGGTGATCCTGACACCATAGAACCTTGAGAATCTGCAGAAAGCCAACTATCTCTTCCACCGTGCTTACAACTGTGCCTTTGTCATCTAAGATTGTTGCGGAATCTGCTCAGAATCATGTCCTGTGTGATGCTGCTGTTGGCTATTGATGGCCTAAGGGTTGGCCAACAAAGCGGTCGCCAACGAGAAGCTACTTTGGAAGTTGAGGCCGAAGTTGCACCGGTTAGACCACCTGGTTGGACGTCGCCCCTCTTCAAAACCCGGTTACCACTGAGTTGTTATCAAGATGAGGATGGTATGGGGAAACTGAAAAAGTGGCGGCGTCCAGCCATCCCAATCGGTTGGGATATCAATGTCTCAGCCGCTATGTTTGCTGCCGTTGGTTGAGGCAGCTGTAGAGTAGAGTGGGTTAGAAAAGATAACCTATTATAAATCTGGGCTTTACAAAAGCCACAATCTCCCAAAAGACGGATGCCCTCTGGCAGCTGCCACCCAACCAGGCCAAACCGGGCGTTCCAGCCTGTTCGTGGCCTGCTCCAAGATAAAGGTGGAGATGCAGCGCAGCACACCGCAGTAGGATGGCGTTCGAAGGACGACGTTTTCGATGGGAACCTGAAGAAAAGTGGGATTCGGATGTGGTGTGTTCAAAGGGGCGTCCATTGGGCACCCCTTATCAACCATGTGATCCCAAAACTCATTGGGCACTCCTTGGATTGGAGGGTGCTGGTATATATATTATATCTAATTATAATATATTATATATAATTTTTTATAGCAAACAATACTAGTAGCAGCATTTGTGTCTCCGTCTTTCAACATGCTCCAACAGTCGCCGCTCTCTCGTTCCCCGCCCTTGTTTCAGCGCTGCTCTTTCGCGCCGCGCCTCTTTTCGCGCGCACGGCGCGTGGCGAAATGCGCGTGGCCCGTGGCGGTGGTTTCGCGCCCGGTGGGCATCGCCTTTTTGGGACCCCACAGGGGTGGCACCTCGCGATGGTTGGCTGGCCCTTCAAATGGCTGGCCCACTGTGTGGGACCCATCAAATCCCATCAAATCCCCAGACCATCCGCATCTGGACCGACATTGACACCGGAAAAGCATCCACCACCGCAGATGTACGTAGCCTCCCTGAAACAATCATAGAGGTGGAAATCGGCCTGTTGGTAGATGAAACCAATCTTCCTAAGGGATCTTAAGGGGCCATACGTTCCTCTTCCTTTGTTGGTTGGAGGCAGGATATACCACTTGTTCAGTCCCATGGATTGTCTGGGAATCGGGTGTCTCGAAGGCCGGTCCTCTCCCCAGTCTCGACCCAGCTGTAGGGATCAGCTCAGTGGGGGGCCCGAACTCACATGGACTGCCCCAGATCGCCGTGAACTGCAGCGGCTTCAGCTGAAGAAGCGGACAAAAACCATCCGAAAGAACGATCTGATGCGAATCGAACGACGCTGCAAGCATATTTTCTGAAAGTCTCTGAGCGACCCTCTTTTCTGAACCATTCGCTCTGCAGAACAATCTAGTGACGGAGTCAGGATCGAGTCCATTAAAGAGACACTGTCCGGCCAGGGCTTGGAGGCCAAAGAATGTCAAAGGACCTCCAAATCTCGAGAAACTAAAGTTGATCATGCTATCCTCCGTATCCCCATCCCTGCAGTCTACACCGGCCACACCGGCGATCTGGAGCTCTCTTCTTTTAAAAGAGGTATTTTCTTGCTTCGGAAAACAATCCCACGAACTGCCCCCTGCCCTGGTCTAAAGAAAAAAGAGGAGGTCCAACATGGCCACGATTTGAGGCAGGCAGAAAGGCAGGGGAACAAATCAGCAGGTCGGCGAATTCATCGCGGCCAACTGCGAGATCAGGCTCGGTGTGTTGAGGCCAGTTCTGGGTTTGACTCCACTTCTTCTTCGGTCTGCGGAAGAGGTTGCTGGCGAGCAAATTGTCTTGATAAACTATGAGAAACTCACCACCCCCTTGGTTGGGGGGGCGAACAGAAACCTGCAATGCCGTCAATTCTCACTGGTCTGCATTGCATCATTCAACACGAAGTGGATGTTCATGAAAACCGAGCTTTGCCCCATCCCAAATCATAAAACTGGCTTTGTGCATCTTTGTGCTACGTTTGAAACAGGCCTCTAAACACCACTTTGCTCTCCATTTCCTCTACCCGCCTTCACTCGATCTTCAGGCCGTTCCGCGCACGGGATCTTCATTCCCATCACAGATCCGCTGCAGCGTGAAGACCGAAGCGTTCCTCCGGCCGGCCGGACGGCCCAACGGCGCCGGTCAAGCGGAGCTCCGCGGACGGGGCGGTGAAAACGAGGACTGTTTTTTAAGGTCACCGATGGAGACCACCCGAACCTTCCAGACGGTGGTCTAAGGGGACTGGACCACTGGATCTGTGAAAGCAAAACAGGTTGGAGGGTGGCCCAAACAAGCAATAAACCCCACTCTGTCACTCTGTCTCAATCACCTTCTGGCTACAAAACACATTCTATCGGTCTCCGGAATTCACCGGTGTCCACGTTGAAACTGGGAGATGCTTCGAGTCGATGTCATCCAGGCAGGCAACCCACGATGTCGCTGGGAGTCCCAGTGGTTCCAGCTCGACTAAAACCGACCGAACTTTTTTGTATGGTGGTTTGCCTGGGATCCACTGGGAATACTATGCATGGCTTAATATGCTGTAGATGAGACATGTCAACATTTCAGTTTGGATGATCTGCTTGGGTGGAATCAGTGAGCGTGCAACAGGCTGAGTATGGCTGAGTGTGTTCATGGAGACAACCTCTAATTGAAGCACTCTGAGTGCTTGCACTGAATTGGTTCAATGCTTCTGGTGTGATTTTTGTTGATTAAGTCCAACACAGTACGTCTATCCGGGCTGCAGCGCTGGTGCAGGGGGGTTGTTCAATTTCCAAGCCGACATCACAACAGGTTGCCAAGGATCTGCGTCCGCAGGAGCAACGAGAAGCACTCCTCAAATGGCTCACAATCACATCAAACATCCTCAAACCCCGATCAAATGGGTGCTCGCTCTGGTGCTCTAAAGGTGTGTTTTCTGTTTTTGTTTAATGTCCGAATCAAATTGGTCCCAAAAGCTGGTTGTCGCTCTCGTGCGTGCGGGCGAACACACTGTGCGTGCGGGGCGTCCGATTCTCTCGGCGACTGTGGGTGTGTCGATGGTTGTGTTGAATCCCTTGACGAACCACGCGGAAAAAAGAAGCCATCCCGACCTTGCGGATCCTCTCCTTTGGTCCGAAGAAACATGCAGAGTCTCTCCAAAGAAGATGTCTGAACACCCAGCTATAGTCAGCTACAGTGGTCAACCATCCCAGAGTGCCAGAGTGAACCCCGCAAGCCCACGCCATCTTTGGGCGACTCCAAAGATGGTCCCTCCACATCATGGGGCCCACATGGCGGAACCACATGGAACCCAAACCATGGAGAACATGGAGTGCACGATCGAGAAGACGTGCGCGATGGACCTTGGAGAATGCTCCTTTTGGACACCGGAAGACGTGCCCGTTTTCACCCATTTCACGCCGGTCCGAGCGCCAAAATAGCCGCCGAACACACCCTCCGCGCTGAGCTCGCGCGCGCCGCGCTGACCACGCGCTGACAACGCATTCTCGCTCCTGGCTGATCCAGCTGGTCTGCTGCGCCGACAGCTGCGATTCCTGCAGGACCGCGGTCACTGTGAGCTTCTTGAAGACCTCGGCGACCGCCGGGAACCCCGACGTCTGCCATGGTCGACCGCCGGGCCGGCGGAGTAGCCTGGTGTTCGGCGAGGGCACATACAGTGAAATCCGAGTCATTCACTCTTCAGCTGGGCACCCAGCCAGAAAATGCAAAAAGCACAAGGTGTGTGCTCTAAAGATCTCTAAAGAGTGTCCACCCTCAGTGTGCTCTGAAGAGTTTCTTCAGGTTCTATGCCACTATATGCAAGGATATGCCAGGCGTAAGGCGTACTCCTCATCCCAATACGGCACAGCTTGTGGTTCAAACAGTCCAACCAAAAGAATGTTAGCCCAAAGCCGTCGAAAAGAGGAGAACTTCGAAGAAAAAGAAGAGACACATCTCATCTTCTAAGGCTCTTAGTAGAAGGATGTAGAAGGAATCCCTTCCCATTTAGCAAGCAATCCACCGGTTTTCCTCATGGCTTCTCTCCGCTTTTTCAGCACCACACACCGAGCCGAGGCGAGAGAGGTCCAGGACCCGGGTCGATGTCTGCGCCAGACAAACATGGTGTATATGACGCTTCTGGGAATCCTGAGACATCTGGTGGTGCGGAAATCCATGCAAGTTTTTACCTGCTGAGATTCCTTTACCTCTTTCCTTGCGGATAGAACTCAGCAAAAACACAGACCTATATAAGATGCCAACTCGTCACCGACTGGTCATCCTCAAAAGCAGCTTCGGTCCGCTGCCACGCATCCATGGTGAAAAGTCATGAAATCTCCCAGTCTCCCCACTTGTCGCTGCACTTGTCAGGTGTCCCACATCCGCCATCTAGCCGTCCGGCCGTCTGACGTCCGCCCACTGCTCGCGGCGCATGCGGATGGTCGTTCTTCCTTCGTGTGGTCTTGAACGTCGGCGAGCAGAGCCCGAGCTTCAGCCAGGGAGCGTCAGGGATGACCGACTTCAAGTCCTCCTCACTGATCATTCCGTCGCCGTCAAAGTCAAAGAGCCTAGCGAGTTAGAGAAGCCACATTGGTGGTCACTCAGCTTGGGATAGAGAAACCAAACAGAACATCCTTCAACAAACTTAAGCCCCTTAAACCCCATGAGGCTCTATATGAGGGCCGCTGGCCATCATGCGCTTGAAGTCCCAAAACCGCCCCACACACACACACACACAAAAACCTCGGTCATCAGATCCAACTGCCTGAAGGTGGCATTGATGTGGAACGGGTCCGTGTACCATTCCTCACCGGCGCTTCCCCACGTTGCGGGCCACCGGACGGACGCCGTGCCGCGACCGTTTCACGAGGAGAGACCCTCTCATCGGTCCAGGAAAGCGGGGTCGCACCGGAATCGCACCGGTCGGGTTGACGAGGGGCGCCGGAACCACTAGAGTCACTAGAGGTTTCAGGTATCCGGAAGCTAGTCACTAGACTCGCTAGAGGCCTAGTCACTAGAGTCACTAGAGTCATAGCTTCTGGAAGGCCTCCATTCACCTGAAGGTGGGAACGAACACAAGTCTCCATAGAATGGTGCTGGAAGGGCCGGAGGGGAGGTGACTAAATGGCTGGTGGGCATGCGGCTGACTTAGTTTGGGGGAGCAGTTTCTGCCACCTGCAACTTGGGTGATGGTATGGACTAATTACTGAGTGGGGGGGTCAAAGCCATGCACAGAGATGGCTTTCATAAACTCCAATGAACTTATTTTGAGGTGAGTATGCATTCCTGGTGTAGGAAATATATAAATATATAAAAACGTCAGAATCTCAGCTCACTACAGGGAGATTAAACATAAAGGCATCCTTGGCATCCAATGCTCAGAAGGGCAAGGGCTATTCCAGTCAGTTCACCATCCCTGTTCACATCCGAAACGAATAGCGCAGGTTCTTTCAGTTCAGCTGGAACTTGGGGAAAATCCCCACCCATCGACATGCCTTCCGGTGGGTTTGACCCAGTCCTCACCCAGGTCCTCATCCTACCACTTCACCGATCCGAACCACCCCCCGGCCGGGTCGGCGGTCGCCGCGAGCCATTCGGAGTAGCTGATGTGCCTCGGTGGCGGTGAAGGAAACATCATCCTACGTGCGGGATGCGCGTGCGAATGAGGAATACGATCGATCTAGTTATATACCAGGACCTTCCAACAGGTGTCTATATTTGGGGCAGCCAACTAGCAGGGAAGAGGTAGGAGCAGGGAAGAGGTAGGTTTCAGTGGTAGTTGGGAGCAAGTTGGCCACAAGGCTCCTCTCGGAGAATAGTACTATTATTGTTTAATACAAACCCGCTCTTGAAATGCAGTTGGAAATTAGATCTGCTTTGTTCGTTTGGATGTTCTTTGTAGAGAATTATTTTAGAAATATCAGCCTTATGCAGTCAGTTAGTGTATTTTGCTTATCTTGCCTTTAGTGGGTTGACTAGAAGGAGGGCTTAGAAAATTATTAAGGGATGCATTAACTGAGTCTGTCGAAGTTTAATCACTAGTCTGTCTTTTAAAATGGCACAACCGGTCAAAATCAACAAGTCAACAAATAGTCAACAATGAAGTGCGTCTTGAGGAGCTCCATCTCGCCGTTCTCACTGTCTTTCAATCTTCGGACCTCCCTTGTCCAGTGCCAAGGATCGCCATCACTGAATCCGCTGACTCTTGGATTCAGCGCCGTAGAAAGCTCCCAACCAACGACGTTCTGTGGCTCCAGTGCTCTTTGCAAGACAACTGAGCGTCGTTGTCCAGTCAGCTTGACTGCGTGCAGTGTGGAGCATCTCTGGCTTTGGCAAGCCTTGCGGCAGTGGTGTTTGTCGTCATCACTGCCTTCTTTGTCAACGTCGTCGCTGTAGTGACAGTCACCGAAGGGGATGTTCTTACGTCCACACCTTGGGCATGTGGCGACGCGTTGAAGCAGTCAAGGCAGATCGAGCAGTGCGTACGCAGACAGCACTGCTCAGGCGGACACGCAACAAGCTTCCAATAGTTTCCACGTCTGTCTCGACCGGCTCCAGGCAGCTGACCTCATGGAGCGAGACATTCCTCAAGTCTGCGTGGAGTGATTGTAGGGCTTTGGAGATCCCTGTCCGCGTGTGGGTTTTGATCCAGCAGCCCTTCGTTTTGCATCATCAATGCCATGTCCTCCTTCTTGGAAAGCCATTAATGAAGGGCTGACACTTCCAGAGTCTGCATTGGCTCCAGCCAATTGGCCTTTCGATTGGCTCCAGAAATAGAGTCCAGAAAGAGGCCTCGAAACTCAAACTTCTCAAAGCTCAAACTCAAACCCCTCCAACGTTTTGGAATCTTCTCAGACTTTTCTTCAATAAATTCAAACATACATCTCCAGATTGAAAGCAGTCAAAGCAGCAACAAAATGATAAAAGGTGCTGCAAAGTAAACATTTTGCAGAAATACAGAACATCATTGAAACCCAAAAACAAGAAAAAGGCAGGCAAGCACCAATTACTTTACTTCGAGCGATCCCCACCATGACATTTCAATCATTTGTCTTGATGCCATAGTGAGGAGCATGTTGCCATGGTCGTGAGTATTGTAGTTCTCGATTTTGGTTGTGGGTACTCGGGTTGTGTGCTGTGGTTGTGTGTTGTGCTTGTGGTTGTGTGTTTGTGTGTGTGTGTGTGTTTGTGATTGTGTGTTAGTGATTCGTGATTGTGTTTGTGGTTGCGTGTTTGTGGTTGTGTTTTTGTGGTTGTGTTCGTGGTTGTGTTCGTGGTTGTGTGTTTGTGGTTGTGTGTGTGTGATTGTGTCTGTGGTTGCGTGTGTGATTGTGTCTGTGGTTGTGTGTTTGTGATTGTGTGTGGCTGTGTGCTTGTGATTGTGTTTGTGATTGTGTGTTTGTAGTTGTGGTTGTGGTTGCTTGTTTGTGGTTGTGTTTGTGGTTGTGTTGTGCGCCGTGGTCGAGGTCCGGCAGGGAACTCTGGGCGTGGAAGGTCGTGGTTGAGGTCCGGCAGGGAACACTGGGCGCGGATGGTCATGGTTGAAGTCCGGCAGGGAACACTGGGCGTGGAAGGTCGTGGTTGAGGTCCGGCAGGGAACACTGGGCGTGGATGGTCGTGGTTGCAGTCCGGGAGAGAACACTGGCGATGGATGGTCGTGGTTGAGGTCCGGCAGGGAACACTGGGCGTGGATGGTCGTGGTTGATGTCCGGCAGGGAACACTGGGCGTGGATGGTCGTGGTTGAGGTCCGGCGAGGAGGAGAGAAGAAGAAGGAGGAGGAGGAGAAGGGGAAGTCAGCTAACATAAAATCTAACAACCCTCACCTGACAGGTGGGGGAACTATAAGTAAGCGCAGGCCAAAATGGCAAGGTACGCTAAGGACCGACCGATAGTGGCGCAAACCAACCGCAGGCCAAGCGCAGACCAAGTGCAGACCAATGGCAATCTACAAAGAGGGTAGTGGCGCAGACCAACCGCAGACCAATGGTGCTACGGGGCTATTGGTTTGGTAAGCGTTCAGAAACTTTTTTCGTCACGGGGTCCAGTCTTCAAGCCGCCAGAGCAGCCACAAAACAGTAAGAGGTGCTGCAAAGCATATGTTTGACAGAAAACAAATAAAAACTAAATCTGTGCCAAAAAGGCAGGCTAGAGGCAGGCTAGAACAAACCAAGCGCAGCAAAGGATTGGGCGACCTCGTGGTGCCCATGCCCTCTGCGGCATGGGTCCGACCGGCGTGTGAGGCAGCTGAATTGGCCGCCTGTACGTCCTCCGCCCCAAGTCCAACTCGGGGTCGAAGGCAAAAAGGTCTCCGTCGCACGTCGTCCAGGCCATGCACTGTCCGACGCGCAGAGAGATGTCCGACCCAAACAAAAAATCTGTGAAGTGGTGAATAAATAGATTGGGTGACATTAATTAACTCTTTGACTAAGTAAACACGCGGGGGCTCACCCGGAAACTATAAACAAAATAACATGTGAAAATTATGTGTGAAGCTGTGACTGTTGGAATATGGAGTTGTGGTTGCAGCCATGCCCAGGGAATTGGAATTAAGAACATGCATGGCTGTCTTTATCCTTTTCCTGAGCCAACAAATAAGGATATTTTCTTTAAAGTAGGTGTGCACTTTTTGAAAGTAGGTGTTGGGGTATAAGATTGCGCAAGCTCCAGTTACCAAGGGCTAGGCACATTCAACTCATAGTCAGTGCCCATTGCTGGCTGAGCCAGGAACAATTGACTGTTCTTTTTTGCGCGATAGGATGGCCTGAGCTAATATTATATATAGTTCCAATTATCTTGTACATAAATATATATAATATATATATATTTATTACTATTTACTTATTTATCCACACCGTTTTGAAAAAATATCTATGATGGTTTGAAGATGTTTGTTTCCAGCTTTGAAACACTGCGTTTACTCATGCAACCCACAGTGAAATTGGTTATTATTAAAGCGCAGTCTGCGCTGAGCGCGCATCGCGCTGATCAAATACTCCATCATATTGTTTGTCATTTCACTGTGGGCGGGTAGTCAGCGTTTATGGTGGCGTTTGTCAAGTGGAGTGCTCATGCGCACAGGCGGCAGTAAAGTGATGCAGATTGTAAGCCGTTTTCTCACTGGACGCTGCTCATCTCTAGTCGTGTCAAAACCAGATTCAGACTCAATGCTCGCATTGAATCTTCAGACTGCGAAGTCTTGTTCGCAAGACTTGGGAATTCCTCCTCATGAAGTGCCCCGGGCTCGGCAAATTGAAAGCAACAGTGCTTCACCAAAATAACTGTTGGGAAAACCTATGCGTGACTGACTTTCTTTAAACAGCGCCAAACCCACCCTACGTGGAAAACACCAAAAGCGTGTTCATGGTCAGGTCCTGACCTTGCAGCACTGACCGGCAGGAAGCACCAACTGCTTCATGCAATGGAGCATGACTTTCACTGGCTGCAACCCTTTCACCGTCCATTTCACGTGCCAAACCAGGCTCATGGAGTGCATGCCCTGAAAGGTCGAAGAAGGCTCACGGGCTGCAATGTTGGAGGCACTGACCGGATCATCCTTTCCAGTGCCAGAGCCTTGGTCAGCATCATTCTTTCCAGCGGCAGCAGGCACGAAAGCGACTTTGTGGGTGACCCGAAAATCATAGACGCCAAGCTTGTCTGGAACCAAAGTGGCCTTGTGGTAGCAAACTTCCGCAGAGGGTTTAGTTTCCCTTTGCTTCGCCAAGACCTCGGACACTGTGCTGACCACACCATTCAAAGACACAAGCGACTCAGAAGACATTTCGAAGACCATGGCCTTCTCACTCAACACTTCGTTGTCCTTGACCAACTTGAAGCTCCCCCGACCAAATCCCACCAGTGCGGTGCCAGGCTTCACTGACAGCTCGCTCGGGGTGGAATTCACAACAAAGAGTTGGTGGCCTGTCCGAATCTGGAAACTGAGACTATCCTTGCCCTGCAGTTTTGCTTCAAAAAGGAGTGTCTCTTGCACCTTGTCATTTGCCAGGATGAACTCTGGGCCAACCTCCTCGACCTTGTTCTTCTTGACGGGTGTTGGGTTCTCTGGCTCCTCACCGTCACGCTTGTTCTTGTTTGGAGATGTCTGCGAAGTCTGCTCATTCTCAGCGACACTGTACTTCTCACAGAAGTTGTCCAACCAAGTTCCAAATTCATCCCCAAAATCCGAATCAGTGCGCCATTTCTGAACCAAGGGCTTGGGGATCTGCAGCTTTCGAAACTCACCCTCACCTGAAGTGACCAACAAGTTCAGGATGGGAAACTGGGGCAACGCCTCCAAAAGGTCTGAGGGAATGTCCTTCTGGTAGGCACGCTGGCCGGGGAACTGAAACTGCCCGCCTTTTGCCTTCTCAACAAGGTCATCAACCAAGCTCACCCGCAGCCACTCCAAGTCCTTCGCCTTCTCTACAACGCCGGCGTAAAAGATGGAAGTCCCAGGGATGCTGCTCCGCACCTTGCAAAATGCATGGGTGAAGTCTCCAACCCGCGGAAACAAATCTAGCACAATCACTGCAGGCACTTGCTCTAAATCTGGACCAGCAAAAATCTTGCGGATGACTTCCTCAGCGGCTGGAAGGCCAAGTTGGCAATGCTTTG